CCTGTTCAAGGGTCAGTTTGAACCAGCTGTTCTTTATCCGGGCTGTAATTTCCTACAATGGTAAAATATCAGGGCCACTTTTTGCTAAGTAAAAGTGCTGGGGAGCTGAGTCTGTGTAGGAAGACTGGCCTAGTAGATAGCGCACTTGAGACTTGGATTCAGTCTTTGGCTGAGCCACAGACTTCCTATGTGAACTTGGGCAATTCTCTTATCTACCCTGTGCCTCAGTTCCACATCCGTAAAATGGAAATAATACTTCCCTGCTGCACTGAGCATAGTGAAGATGAAAATCCATTCATGACTGAGAGGTACTCAGATACTATGGTATTGAAGACTATATAAATAGATAAATATATTATAAAATCTGTTGCCGTTGTAATAGCTTATGTTCATCATGTGATGTCCTCTAATACTAAACAAGAAGGATGACAGAATTAAGACTTAGGAAACTCCATATGTCAGAGCTCTAAGGATGGAATAACAAACTTAAGGAAAGAATATAGTTAGCTATGCACAATTTCAGTCCACTCCTGCCAGGACGTGTATGTGAATCATCAGCACCTCACATCAAAGAATATCAGCATTGTTGTTTTGCTTCTGTTCAGTTCTGTGAAGTTGTCAATCTGTGTTATCAATGCTTTGCCAGTTGTAAGTTAGCCTGAAGCCAGGTTAGGAGAGGTGAGTTGTTGCTAGATGGTAGTTGATGACGTTGGCATCAACCATTGATTTTTGGAAGACAGCTCACATATTTCATGTTTCCTGCTGGTTGATTACCATGTTCTTTGAGAGAGCCATTGACTACTTCTATTTGTCAGAAATGGGCCATTATATTTGCTGCTGACTCTGGCATGCCAATGGGGACAAGAATCTAAAGTGAGGCAAGGATTTTTTTTTAAGACTATAGTACCTTTTCTTATTGAGAGTGGGCTTAGATCTGAAAAGAAGAGTGGTACAAATGAGAGACTCTCATGGATTCTCAGTTTTCTGAGCAAAGTATGTCAAGGAAAAGTGTCCTTATTGGCTGCCTTACATATCAGAATAGTTCCTTTAGTTAGGGTTTGGTGCATGCTATAGGTTAATAAGAACAATTTTTGGGCTAAGAGAAGTAGCTGTGATAGTCTGTAACTGAACAACTTAAACAAGGAATGGTCCTGCAGCACCTTAGAGACTAATAAAAAATGTAGATGGGGGTATGAACTTTTGTGGGCACAACCCACTTCTTCAGATGAATGGAGCAAGGAATCCAGAGGTACAAATAAACAATAGAAAAAGTGGAGAGAGGGGGAGAGAAAGAGAAGGGAAAAAATCTTATCAATTGGAGTGTCTGTGCTAAATTAAGCTAATAGAGAGGGCTGTAAGTGCCCAATATTTAGCTTTTGATGTCATTAGAGTGTTGAATATAGAGGCCCGTCCAGTTAATGTCTTTGTTCAAACCTTGATTAAAAGTGTAAAATTTGCAAATGAAGGCAAGTTTCACAGCTTCTTTCTCCATTTTGTTTTTTGAAATTTCTTTGTAATAGTATAGTCACTTTGAGATCCATTAACGAGTGCCTGGGCAAGTTAAAATGTTCCCCAATAGGTTTCTGTGTGTTACCATTTTGAATATCTGATTTGTGTCCATTAATCCTTTGTCACAGAGACTGTTCAGTTTGGCCAATATACATGGCAGAGGGGCATTGCTGGCACTCGATGGCATAGATCACATTGGAGGATGTGCCACTGTATGAGCCTCTAATGTGGTGGCTTATGTGGTTAGATCCTGTGATGATGTCGCTTGCATAAATGTGTGGACAGAGTTGGCACCTGAGTTTATTGCAAGGGTGGGTTCCTGGATGAGTATGATGCAGTGTGCTGTGTGGTTGCTGGAAAGACTTTGTTTCAGATTAGGGGGCTGTATGTAGGGAATGATTGGCCTGTCCCCCAAGGCCTGTGAGAGTGAGGGATCATTTTCCGGGATCGGTTGTAGATTGTTAGTGACGAACTGGAGGGGTTTAAGTTGGGGGCTGTAGGTGTTGACCAGTAGTGTTCTGTTGTTTTGTTTGTTGGGCCTGTCTTGAAGAAGCTGATGCCTGGGTACTTGTCTGGCTCTGTCAATCTGTTTTTTCACTTCCCTAGGCGGAAATTTAAGTTTTAAGAATTCCTGATAGAGATCCTATAGGTGTTGGTCTCCGTCTGTGGGACTGAAGCAAATCTGGTTGTATCTTAGGGCCTTGCTGTAAATAATTGATTGGGAAATGTGTCTTGGGTAGAAGCTATAGCATGTAGGTAAGTATAACAGTCGGTAAGTTTCCGGTGTAAAGTGGTGGAAATGTGGCTGTCGTTTAATGATGCTGTAGTATCAAGGAAGTGGATCTCTTGGACTGCTCCAGGCTAAGGTTGATGGTGGGGTGGAAGCTGTTGGAATCCCTGTGGAATTCTTCAAGGGTCTCCTTCTGGTGGGTCCATATGATGAAGATATTGTCAATGTAGCATAAGCAGAGTAAGGCTGCTAGGGGGCGAGAGCTGAGGAAACGTTGTTTGATATCAGTACGGTATGCCACAGTCAAAAAGATCAGTAATGAAGCCAAAACTGTGGAGAGGAGCTGGTCAATATTGGGAATTTCTATCCCACTGGAAATTCCAATATTTGGAAATTTCCTGCAAAATTATTTTTTGTGGATAAAAAATGCATTTAGTCAGTCAGATCATTTAATCTGGATAAAATTGAAATATTTTCTTCTGATATTGGTTTAAAAATTATTATAATATTAAAAATGTGAAAACTAAAAAGTGTTTCAATACCAAATACTCTATAGAGCATTCTACTTTCCTTAGTGCCTTTTAAGTAGAGCCCGCTTTATATCCATGAGCGTCTGTATCTGAGGATATTTGTGTCTCATTTTTGTGGATGCAAATTTTGTATCCGTGCAGGGCTTCACCTTTAAACTCTGTTTATAATTGAAGAAACTTAAGTGGGAATCTGGAACCATCTTTAAGTTCAGGTTCTTAAACCATCTTTAAGTTAAGGTTCTCTTCAGAGCAGGCCACTTTATAGATATTGTGATGTTCCATGGTCAAGCTGCCTTGAAGTGTTGCTTTTGAGGTTCTTTTGCAGTGGAGGGGAGCCAATATTTCAAAGGGAAATGGTCACTCACCACGTAGCTGCATCACAGTAGTACCTAAGAATAACCTAAATGTACCTGCACTATAGAAAACAGAACTGGAACTTGATTTTTAGACTATCAACTCATTTTCCTAATTTAAAAGTCAAGTTTTAGGGTGGGGGGGGGAGGGGAAGAGATAGGCTAGTACTGCTATGAGTCTGGCTTTCAGTCTTGTTTTTGCTGATATCCTTGTAATATATAAAACTAGTGTTTGTTATTCCTCCCTACTTGTGTTGAAAATTTGTAATTGAATTAAATAACTTTGTTTGTTGTTTTGTTTATTTTAATACACATTTGCAGCTGAAAGTTACAAGGAAACCCAGATGGTAAAGATTAAAGAAGAACCAATGGAAGTTGACATTCATGAATCGCAGCCCTCCATTTCACCCAGCCAGACTCTGGGTTACAGCACTTTATTAGGGAGAGACAGAACTGAACACATACAGAAGGTACCAGAGGCCCGAATGCTCCCGGAGAGAAACCTCTTCAGCCAGGATATATCTGTGAAAATGGCTTCAGAACTGCTCTTCCAGCTGTCAGGTAAAGAAAGTAGAAATAGCTGTCCCTGTGTGCTCTTTAGAAGAGGAATTGTAAAAATAAAAAGAAAATAGCTAACTTTTTAATTTTATTTTACAGACTTGTGAGTCTAGTATGGGATAAAAAAAATACTAGAAATGAGAAACACTTTCTTCTGTGCTTTCCATTTGAAATTCAGAAGCTTCCTCATAGCGTTGATCAAGAATTCTTTAGCTGGTTAGAATACAATTTTGGGCGTCGTCAGTCAAAGTGGTTTCATAATGTTTTAACTGTTTAGGAAAAAAACAGAGTTCAGCTCTTGTGGCTTGAAAGCTAATTAAATAATTTCTGACAGCTGGGGCATGCAGATTTGAAAATAAAGGAGGGTTTCTATGCACGCTATAACTATTGGAATAAGCACCTGATGGCTGCAGCATCAATAGTTCTTCTGGCTGCTTTACAGATTCCCGCTCTCAGAAGGGCAAGCTTCGGAGAACAGGTAAAAGTTGTCATTGCCATAAACTGAATGAATGCAACAATTGCATTCTAATAGTGCAATGAACAGTGAGGCTAAAATACGCAACAAGACAAACATTAGTACAAATGACAGTTTAAAATAAAAATTATTCTAGTGCGTTAGCTCATTTGAATGATTGGATTAAAGTTTTCCTGTATGGTAGTATAAACCAGCAAGCATAGAAAAATAATTAAAAATCTGTACAAATGGGTCACTCATGCTAATTCAAACTCTTTGTTCTTCTGCAGAAAAGGTGAGCAAAGAGCACAATCACACTAAAGATAATACCATCAGAACCACAACCAGGTATGTAGCATTCATAAAGCACTCCAGCATGCATTGCAAGGGTTGACATTACAGTACAGTGCAAACTTCAAAATGACACCATTTCACAATTGTAATATCATATAATACATGCAAGAGAATTTTCTGTGATTAAAAAAAATTAAGCCCTATAAATCAGTGCATATTATGTGGTCATAAAATGAGACAAAATAGCAGTCCTGGCAAGGGGAAACTCCATATCACAGATAACTGTAGTAATGATTCTTCCTTTCCCTGACCAAATATGCAAATATTCCATAGATATTGATTTTGCGAATTTATTTTTTCTGCAAAACAAAATATTAATTCAGTAAACTAAAACTTAAAATAATATCCGGTACAATTGGTGAGTATGGAATGATCTGACAGTGTAGTTTTTATCAGCTATGTCTTGTGATTAATTTTCCTAAAATACTCCTCAAATAGCAGTTCAGTTTTGTGGTTTGGATCCACTGAGGTGGACCCTCATAGTTTCTTTCAGGTATGAATTTAAAAATCTATTCAAGTTGTGCGAGTTAAAAGCTAATGGAATATTTGATTATAGACCAGTGTTTCTCAAAGTGGTCTGTGAAATCACTTTGAGAAGCTTGTTAACTGGCCACTCCAGCGTGTTTACTCACCATTGGCTGCAAACAGCAAACTGGAGCCAATGGGAGCTGCAAGGCTCCGTAGCTGTGGCGCCGGAAAGTAAATAAACCACAGTGGCCAGTTAACAAGTTTCTCAAAGTGGTTTTATTATAGACTAATGGTCAAGATTAGGAAATGGGGCAGTATTGGTGTAGAATTAAGAGAACTATCCTATGATTCGACCAGCATGTATGTTCTTAGAGGGCTGGTGTACGTACAGTATGTTGCATAAGAAGCAGGTGTTTGAATGAGAAATGGTGACTTTCGGCTCTGATATAAGGAACTTCCTGATCTCTTTAGTGAATGGAGGCTGGGAGACCTCTTTAAAAATTTCACTGCACTATACACTTATTTACCAAGCCTCCTCTTCAACTTGCCGTTCAGTTTGAATTAACGTTATACAGTATATGTGACATATATCCAAAGGGGTGGGGAACCTGTGGCCCGGGGACTGGATCCAGATCCCACATGGCTTGCATCCAGCCCCCGAGACTAATTACTCATGTGATATTACAATGCAGATGTGGTTATTCCTATTCTGGAAACAATCCTGCCTTCTGATGCCTTTTAAACTAACAATTGTCCTTATCTATGAGAGAGTCTCAGTTTAGCAAATATCAGGTTGAAATGTTGTAATTTTCATTTTGTTCTGGGTAAAATCATATTTAGTATACAAAAGGAAAGGTGTATGTCAAACAAATACTTTCCAACAAGTAGACTATTCTTTTATATTTTAATTTTAGTGTACCTCCTAGTATCTGTACTATATGCAAATCTTGTTTCTGTTCTGGTCTTCAGCTGAATGAATAACACAACTGCTCTGTGACATATGACAATCAGCATCAAAACTAACTTATTAACTGTTACAATTAATAAATTATACTTTCAAAATCAGATCATAGTTAACTCAAAATAGATTTTGCATTCTGTAATCTTTGATAATGCTCTATTTTGGTGAATTATAACAGTTTTTGTGCTTCTACATTTGATTATTTTATAATACTGTCCAGGATAGGGAAGGATACAAGGAAAGCCAAATAAACATATCAAAAGAGAACCACCCAGGATATTTCATGACTTATTTTGAACTCCATTCCTAATTAGCTTAACTAACTAGTTAAATGCTCTTATTAAGACATAATGAAAACAGTCCCGCTCCTCCCTCCTCACCCCCTAAAAAGTTCAGAATGGTCAGAAGAGTACATTTTTTTAATTTAAAAAATCTATTCTTATTTACTGATGCATATCTTGATGTTGGGTTGTCACTAAATTCCTCTGAAGTGATGCCATTAAAGATGCATATCTTGATGTTGGGTTGTCACTAAATTACTCTGAAGTGATGCCATTAAAATCATTTTGGAGACATACTTTTCACTTTGATAGGAAATTTGATGTAGCGGTGCCACTGAAGTAAGACCACTGTACTTAACATCATAGACTGCATCTGTTTTTAGTAGGAATCTTCTATCCCCAAAACAGTTGATTGAACATTAGTTATAAAAGTACAGTAAAACCTATATAATCCGGCATGCTTGGGGATTAAGGTGTTCTGGTTATCTAAAAATTCCGGTTATCTGAGGGTCCCATCAACTTAGGAAAAACCAATGGATAATAGTAATAATAGTAAAACTCAGGTTTTTAATATTGATAGTTTTGTGGTGTGAGGCAATTGGTCTCACATTTCTATTTTGAGTTAAAGATGATTAGTACTTCTTAAATACAAAATTGTTAAGCCAAGCATGGTAAACAAAGCCAGGCCTGTGCACCTGAAGATGTGACAGTATTGTGGCTGGGGGCAATGCCAATTAACAAAGTTTTCTGGTTAACAGAGTTCCGGATAACAAATGTTTCACTGTATTAGGAGGCACACTTATTACTTTAGCTAGTCAGTGTTGTGTTTACTAAAAGAAATCTCTCTCCCCCTCAGCCCTTTCTTTTCTGAAGATACATTTAGACAATCGCCATTCACTTCCAATTCAAAAGATCTCCTGCCCAATGAAACTGCTCTTCTTGGAAAGATATCAGCACCAGGTATGGCCTTTTTAAAATTGAATTACTTTTAACTTAACATAAAAATAACTGTATTATAGTTCTGAGAGATACTACTATCTGTACTGTATTTATTCAGTACATTAATTATCTAAACTTCTCCGTAATAAAACTTAGTTTTTCTATAAAAACAACTCCGCCACTACAAAAATTAATATTTTTTTAAAAGAAAAAAGTTTCTTCATAATTGCCCAAGCACTTATTTTATTAATCTTTATTAATATTAAAAAGTCTCTCTTAAAAAAACCCCAAAACAATAACCTAAAAAGGATGTACTTCAGTATTATAAATGGAGTGTATTTCTTTTCACAGCCTGTATTTAAGGGAAGCATGAAGCTCTCTGATAAGTCATTATTGCCCTCTGGTTCCCTTTTTGGTGGCCAAGCCCACCCTATCAATTCCCTGTATTTTGAGGGGAAACTCGCTCAGCTTTCCAATGCAATTCTCTTACTCATATCATTCATTTAGGACCTTATCCTGAAAGGTGCTAAACACCACCTACAACATGCTGACTGTCAATTCCTGTTAGGAGCTAGGAACTCTTAGCATCTTTCAAGAAGTGCTCAAAACTGCAGAAGACATGGCTTGTAGAGCCCAACAAACTTGTACTATCCCTCAGAATGAAAACTTGATGTACATTATCAGAATTATTGCAATGAAATTATGATTCTTTTCAAGAGTCAGTGTTTTAACTGAGGTAATTGGAACCATGGTGTATGTTTTTGTATCAGATAAGTTTGAATGGCCAAAAACTTGTTGGGAGAGTGATTGCATAGGAACTTTTTTTTTAACAATTAGTTTATTCTGTATTACAGTATTACCATTTACAAGTAGAATATAAGTGGTACTTATTTATTAATTTATATATAGATATGTTGGGGCATATGGTTTCCTGATAATATTGTAAAGCATCTAAGGATAGATCAATATGTAATTTGCATGGATACGTTTGCATAAATACTAGTTTCCTTTACAATGTTTAACTTATACTTTTGGAACAACTCTACTTTATGAGATTTACTTACCACAAGTGAATAACCCTTTGATAAATGAGGTTTGCAACTGACATGTCAAAACAGCTTTACACTGCAATAGCACTATGGAAGTGATTTAAAAAATAAAAATGATATATACAAAGTATATATAATCTTAGAGAACTAAGACTTCATTCTTTGTGGGTACAAAGTTTTCATCTTTCTCTGGTGTTTCTGGTGGAAATTGTGGATGTTCTGGAAAGAATTAAGAACTAATCCATAGTATTGTCAAATCTACCTTCAAGAGTTTTCTTCTAAATGAAACGTGTTTTAAGTAACCACTCAACAAATGGACAAATCGACTGATGTAAATAAGGTGTTCTAATGTTGGATCAGAATTGTACTCAGTGTTTTGGGACTACTTTAGATTGGTCTCAGTAAGAGTTGTGTTCTGTACACGGAGGTCTGTACATGGAGGCTCTCAACCTTTCTCTATCTAAGCCACCTCCCTCCCATACTACAAAAACTCCATAGGCCAGCTATGCCACAACTACTATTTTTCTGCATATAAAAACTTGGGCCGGCAATAGTGGGTAGCAGCCAGGCAAGTTGTTTGGTGCCCTGTAAAACTAAACTGCTCAGGCTTTGGCTCCATCCCTGTAGAGTGAGACTCAGGCTTGGGCTTTCTACCCCATAGAGTCAAATGCCTTGCCTGCTTGGTGGGGCCCCTGAAACCTGCTCACAGTCCTCCCAGGGGGTGTCAGACTTCTGGTTGAGATCTGCTGCTGTACTTAATGTAAGAAAGCTTGCTACTCTGGAGTGAGGAATAAAGTCATTTCATGGAGTAGAAGCTGTTCAAGAGATAGGGAAGGGAGTAAAAATGGCTAATGATTATGGAAAGAGATGCTGTAGTAAAGAAATGTACTTACAAACAAGGCTTTGCCATATATTAATGACTTGAAAGAGTATCTGGAGAATGAAACTTCTTGAGAACACAACATTATTTTGGTTAGTCAAAACTTGGATGGATTGTGAGTTAGGGATGTAAAATTTCGATGATTTGACTCATAGAATAGTCGATGCAATTTGTATTGACTATTCAATTAGTTGATAATGGCACCTCCACTTTTGAAGTGTAGCAACAGCCCCAAGGCTATTGCTACACTTCAAAGGTGAAAGCGCTGTGGGGAGCACAGGACCAGCAAGGGACTCAAGCCATCATCCACTGGCCCTGTGCTCCCCGTGGAGTTTCAAAGCGGCAGCACCATATGGAGCCCGGGATCAGCAGGAGAGTCCCCAGCTGACCCAAGGCTCCACACCGCATTGGTGCTTTGAAGCACCTTCACCTCTCTCCCTCCTCCTGCTTCTTTCTGATAGAGGCAGCACAGGGGGAAAGCAATTAGTGGACTAGTGTGTCAACTATCCGATAAGCATTTGCTTATTATTGCATAGTTGACTAGTTTTTCACAACCCTATTGTGAGTAAATCCAGAAGGATCTAACAAAGCTCAACAATTAGACAATGTGATTGGAGATTATATTCAATATAAATAGGTGAAATAAACATGGAAGGAATTTCTTAAACCATTTATATCCGTATCAGATAAGTTTGAATGGCCAAAAAATTGTTGGGAGAGTGATTGCATAGGAACTTTTTTTTAACAATTAGTTTATTCTGTATTACAGTATTACCATTGACAAGTAGAATATAAGTGGTACTTATTTATTAATTTATATATAGATATGTTGGGGCATATGGTTTCCTGATAATATTGTAAAGCATCTAAGGATAGATCAATATGTAATTTGCATGGATACGTTTGCATAAATACTAGTTTCCTTTACAATGTTTAACTTATACTTTTGGAACAACTCTACTTTATGAGATTTACTTACCACAAGTGAATAACCCTTTGATAAATGAGGTTTGCAACTGACATGTCAAAACAGCTTTACACTGCAATAGCACTATGGAAGTGATTTAAAAAATAAAAATGATATATACAAAGTATATATAATCTTAGAGTATGTGCAGAAGATAACGCTTTCTTGAAATTTGGAAGTTCATTTGACAGACTCAGACCACAGACCAAATGCAATGTATTCTTCAGTTTCATCCCCAAACATCTTAACTAATAGCCATTGATGGACCTATTCTTTAGGGGCATATCTAATTTTTTTGTGTTGACCAGCACTGATCGTAGTACATATCCTCGGTAGACCCTGTTATTTACCTCTCTCCACTGTGGAAACTAACCATTTAATCCTACCCTTTGTTTCCAGTCTTTTAGATAATTACTAGTCCATGAGAGGACTTTCCCTTTTATCCCATTGCAGCTTGGCTGAAGAGCTTTTGGTGAATGAACTTATCAAAGGCTTTCTGGAAATCTAAGAACACTATAGCCACTGGATCCCCCTGTCCACATGCTTATTGACCCCCTTAAAGAATTCCACTAGGTTGGTGAGACGTGATTTCCCTTTACAAAAACCATGTTGATTCTTCCCCAACAAATTATGTTTATCCATGTGTATGATGATATTGTTCTTTACTATGGTTTCAACCAGTTCTTCCAGTATGGAAGGCAAGCTAACTGGATTGTAATTGCCTTGATCACTTCTGGAACCCTTTTTTAAAATTAGCATTACAGTAGCTCTCTTCTAGTCATTTAGACAAGAGAGACTAGGCTGCCAGGAGCCTTTCCACAACCGGGCATGGCTGGCAATGGGAAAGGCAGCGGGGCAGGACCGGCAGCCAGACTAAGAGTGGAGCCAGGCTGGCAGAGCTGGAATTGACTTCTCTGGTCTCTGGGACTCCCTCATTTGGCCCCAGTCAGGTCCTGAAGGTGCCGGATAAGGCAGGTCCAACCTGAAGTTCTTCAATTTCACATTTGAGTTACTTCAGAACTCTTAGGTTTATGCATCTGGTCCTGGTAACTTATTACTATTTAGTTTATCAATTTGTTACAAAATCTCCTCTTAGGACATCTCCACATGGGATAGTTCCTCAGATTTGTCACCTAAAAAGAAAGGCTCAGGGTTGGGAATCTCCCTCACATCCTCAGCCATGTAGACCAATGCAAAGAATTCATTTAGTTTCTCTGCACTCATCCTTGAGTGCTCCTTTAGCATCTCGATCATCCAGTGGTGCCACTGGTTGTTCAGGGGGCTTCCTGCATCTGATGTATTTAAACATTTTTTGCTGTTACTTTTTGAGTGTTTGGCTAGCTTCTCTTCAAGTTCTGTTTTGGCCTTCCTACTTAAATTCTGGCAAATGAAATGTAAAAAGTATATGCTCCTTTCTATTTTCTTAACTAGGATTGAACTTCCACTCTTTAAAGAATGCCTGTTAGCCTCTCACGCTTTCTTTTACTTGGTTGTTTATTCATGATGGCACTTTTTTATTCTTCTTTTTGTTTATTTTACTTTGGGGGTATACATATAACCTGAGTCTCTATTATGGTGTCTTTGAAAATTTTCCATGAATCTTGCAGGGATTTCACTTTTGGGACTGTACCTTTTTTTTTTTTCTGTTAAACTAACCTCATTTGTGTGTACTTCTCCTTTCTGAAATTAAATGCTATAGTTTTGGGCTGCTGTTGTGTTTTGCCTGCCACAGGCATGTTAAATTTAATTACATTATAGTCACTATTGCCAAGAGGTCAAGCTATATTCACTTCCTGGACCAAATCCTGTGCTCCACTTAGCACTAAATCAAGCACTGCCGTTCCTTTTGTGAGTTCCAAGACTAGCTACTCCAAGAAACAGTCATTTAAGGTCTCAAGAAACTTTCTTTCCATCCCATCCTCCTTTATTTCTCCTTATCTCTCCCTCCCATCCATGGACTCAATATGGGGATAATTGAAACCCCCCATTTGTATTAAGTTGTTTTATTTTAATAGCCTCTCTAATCTCCCTGAGCATTTCACAATCACTACTGCCATCCTGCCACAATCATACAGCCCGACTGCTCTATTCGTATTATTAGAACATGAAATTACTATCCATAGAG